TGCTCTGTCCTTCGGATGCAATTGATGTTGCAGGGAGCAGGGCACTGGACATGGCAGCAGGCCAGCTAGGAGGGGCTTGGGTGTGTTCTGGGTCTCAGAAATGCCAGTGGGAAGTTTGCTTACGTGAGATTTTTGGTTCTGAAATCTTTGGGGATGAGAAGACTCAGTCCCCTCAAATCCCCAAAGGTGTGTAGGAATCAGCCTAACCAGCCCACACCCCATCCTGTTTTGAGGGTCATCTGCTCTCAATCGGGCATCTGTGCCCTGGGTTCTTAAGAACAACGAATAGGCGAAACACACAGACAGAATGAAGACAGGAATAGTGTCAACAGATTCCAGGCCTGTGCCAGGAAAGGCCTGCACGAGTATGTCAGACCCTAAAGTCTGTCCCCACCCCCAGAAAATCAGAATCGAAAGGAAGAAAAGAAAAAGCAGTCCTAGGGTCAATGGGAGTCAATGAAAAAAGGCCAGAAGATATCAGCTATGATAACAACCAGCCACAAACCTCCTAAAATGCTATTCTATATTACAAACAAAATTAGACTCCATGGCCCTATTATAGATTTGCTAAAAGTACATACATTTATCTGGACAGAAAAATAGACTACTCTGAGATGCATGGACAACCTGTGATGTAGTCCTACATGTCAGATACTTCTAGAGCCAGAAAAATGGCAACAGAAAATGCAGAGGTAACTTATTTCTGGGTGTAGCCAGGCTGCTTTGGATCACGCTGGCCTAGGGGAAGCATTTGGATGCCGTCATACAGGCCGAGAAGGCGGGGAACGTGCAGCTCAGGGCTGGCGGCTCTCCACTGTCCTGCTGGGGGCTCGGGCGAGTCCCTTCTTCCTCCTGCCAGCTTCGCAGCCACAGAAAAAGTCCTTCCCCAAAGAATCTCGGAGGCATTTCACCATGTTCTCATTTGATCCAAAGTTCCTTGATTGGAGGCTGAAGCCTGGGACTAGTTGCTAGAGAAATAAGGAAAGGAGAGAACTAGAGACCTGGCTTTCGTGACCCTTGTCCGTGGTGAATTTTGACTTTCCCCTTGCCCATGGATTAGACACTCCAGCTGTGACTTGGAGCAAGACAGAAATATACAATAGTTATAAGTATCCACAATACATTACAGCTTTACTTAAAAGAATCCTGTCCTATGTGTTTTTTTTCTCTCCTTAGAAAGGTGGATCTTTTTAGGAGAAGGGGCAGAAATGAGGCTATGGTGACCAAGACACAGTGGAAGGCAGGTTGGGAATCAGGTTGAAGCCGTCTGTATTGCCAGTGATTCTCAGGGACAAGCCAGGTGGATTGAAAGGAAATGGCCTCCTCAGGATATTGGTCTCCCACCCCAACCCGCCTTCCCTGCCATCTCATTCTTTGTTCTTGATCCCCAGTGCCTTTAAAAAACGGGGCTTCCCGGGAACAAATGTTCTCTCCTCTTTTTTCTTTCCTCATTTAAGTGTGCTTAAGATAAAATTCCTAAAGAAGGCACTGAGAAATCTACTGCACCAAAGTCCTGCTGTTTTTCTTTACCCGAAGAGGAAGAGGCTACCCACCTCCTCCCCCTGGTCGCAGACCCTCCCCTGTGTGACTGGGAGCCACAGCTTCCTGGTCCCTAGCCCTTTCTGATAACGGTGGAAATTGGAAGTCAAGTTCAGTTGGGTTCTGGAGAAGTTTCGTTGAGTTCGCCAAAAGGACCAGGCTTCCATCCGCCCCCAGCCCTCAGTTTCATTTATTTGGGTTGATTGGTTTTCTCCCCGCTTTCATTGGCTCAGGAGTGGGTGGGATTTGGACCACCAAGGTAAGGTGGTAACTTGCTTCCAAAACTACTGCTTTCCTGTCCTCCATCAGACCTGTTGATCAAAGTTAGCTTCTCAGTGGAGACTCTTAGGTAGATTTCCCAGTGCACGTACACAGGTTCAGGTAGAATGTACACATATTAAAAATTTCCGTATGCTCCTTTCTGGCAGGTGGGGGCCTGGGTAAACTCACAGCACTTTATTTGAATTGGGCCCAGGGTAAAAGCTATATATATCCCCATGTTACAGACGCAAAAGGAAAAAAAAACAGAGCACAATACTTTCTAAGCATATTATATGCTGAGTTTCAATTATTTTGTTTCTATAAGAACTCTATAGGACTCTGGCTGTTCAGCCTGAAAAGGTAGGTTCTTCATGATACTTCTGAATTTGTCCTTCAAAAGTGACTCCATAAAATGCTACTTTGAGATCAGACAAAACACACGAGGAAGGAAGGGCTAGTTCCTGCATGACCACACAAGGCAGAAAGGGCCTTTGGTTACAAGGAGAGTTGCACCAATTGGTTATTAGTATTTTTTTTTAATAAAAAAAAAAAAAAGGAAGAAAGAATTTCCAATCTGAACACTTGTCGTCTGCTTCCACCAACAAATGAAATGCCTTGGTTTGAAGAAGGGGTGGTAAGTTCCTTCCCACTATATATGGCTATATTTAAACATGTTCACTTTCCTGATATGTAAAATAGACTATATCACCATTATTATTATTATTAATTTTTACAGATAGCATCAGCTCTAAAAATATCTGAATCAGAAATCACAACTATTTACTTTTATCAAAAAGCATTTGTTTGTTTTCCCTGAATTTTCACATTTGTGCTGATGGCGGACATAGATGGTGATGAAAACAAAGAAGAGACACGTGAGATGGTCCAGGGAGGACTGCTCCAGGGAGGGCCGTTCCTCAACAGGCCTCCAGCCCACACGGAGAGCTCAGCAAAGCCCCCTGGGAGCGCTGCTGCTTCTTCTCGCTCGTGTATCACCAGCACAGGATGACCTCATTCTGTCTTTGTCCCTTTGCGTTTGCTGCCAGAGTACTCGGAAGATACTTTGGAAGAGTCAAGATACTCTGGCACGCATTTTCTTTGTCAATGCAGCAACGAACAGGACTGTCCCCTCCTGGAGAGATCCACAGTCCTTGGAGATGCTGAGAAGCAATGTGAACCAGGCGCGTATTCAGCAAAGAATACACATCATATTAAGGGCAGTAGGATGACCCCTTGCCATCGTATCTGTGACAGGCAGCCCAACCTCATGCCACTGAGAGGAGAGCAGGCAGGACGACTCTGTGATGTCTGTGTACGGACAGGTGGATCGTGCCATTGTAATAGCAGGCAGATCAATAACATCGTATGAAGGACAGCTAAACAACACCACATTTCGTTCCATCAGGAAGACGCATGCCTGTCACAAATGATGATTGACAGATATATACTATTGTATTTGGGACATCATCCATCAGAATTGTATTAAGAGAACAACATCAGTCCATTGCTTTGAAAACAGGCAGATCCGTAACATGCTATCTTTACTGACAGATGGGCCCACAGCATGGCATCACGCTAACCGGTGGCTCAACCCAATGTTACTGAACCAAGGCACAGCCAGCAACACCATGCTGTCAGACTGAACTCAAGTAGACTAATGTCAGTGCATCAAACTAGGACAGGAACACCAACACCAAGAAACACACTAGAACTTATTGCTTTTGTCTGAACTGGCTGCATTGATGGCTGCAGAAAGGAGAGCTGAGCTTTTAATACAGACAGTGACACTGAAAACACACCCACAGCTGGTTGACAAGAAAACACCCCATGCCCAACTGTCTACTGTCTTCTTCTGAGATGTGCCTGGTTTCTATACACATGACTTTATGAGAAGCCCCACTCAAGGGCTAGGTACCCTTCTTTGCAATAGGGCTAAGGGGAAGCTTCAGAGGGGCAGGAAGGCGCCTGCAGACTTTGACATGGCAGACAGCAATACCAGCACAATATCACCCACGATGGTGGGACACAAGCATACAGCAACAACCCAACCAGAGTCCCAAAAAGTGGCCCATGGGAAATAGTGCTTCTTTTAAAGTGCAAGATGGTGATGCCGTCCCTGGTAGAACCTATTTTTGAAAAACATAAAGTGCTTTTTATTTTAATTTTTTAAAAAACTTGAATACCACAGGAAACAAAAAAAGCATTTCTATTATAGTAGATGCTTTCCCTGCCGCAGCAGGAAGTATTCAAAAGTCTGAACAGGGCATTTCATTTGGGGACTTCCTCCCCCCACCCCCTCCACCTTTCATTGTTGCAGGTTAAAAAAAAATCATTTTATTCTGTTCTCCAGTAGCATACAGTCTCTTTGAATAAGCTATTTCTTTTGCATATTTGACACTTGCATATCTTTTGAGCCTACACTAGTGATATACAGAAAATGCTTTCCTTCTACAACCCTAAAGCAATGCTCAGAGTTCATACTGTTGGCTGAGTGCCTGCCTCCTGAGCCCTTCCCAGATAGCCAGGGGGCAATTAGAATGGAGTACAAGTGGTACAACTCACCCTGATGAAATCTCAAAATAAAATCTCAAGTACTATGAAATACTGAAGTCAATGAAGACATTTGAGTATGGGTTTTATGCTGGGATTGTGGCTTATGGTGCATTTCTCCATGACACAAGCATTCTCTGTAGCCTTCTAACAGTGGGATCCATCCAGGAGGTGATGGACAGGGGTTCCTAGAGGTGGCCAGGCAACACCCAATACCAAATTAGTCAACTCACTTTTTCAATATCAGCCACGTGTTCCAGCATTCTTCTCCAGCCAAGGCCAGGAGGGATCAGAGATGTTGCTTTCAGAGGCTGATGGATGGCCATGAGAGAAGAATGGGGAGTAGGTGGCCTTGGTTATGTCTAGAATGTGGTAGTGGTGGCTGTGAGTTCTGCTCATGTCATCTCCCAAAGAGGGCAGTGGAGTTGTTACAAGGAGGTGCCATAGTCTATGGCTTGGCCAACTTCATTCCAATAGACCTGCTGTGACTCTCAAGGTATTAGGGAGCTTTCTCTGGAGTCTCTCGTCTTTCTGGGGACTTTGCAGAGCCTTTCTGCTTCAGAGTTCATGCAGAAAAGCTATGTGGCAGGTAAGCTGAGCAGCACTCCTCTTTGGATCTCACTACAAGTCTCTCCTCCATGTGGGGTAGTTCAGATGCTCTGATCCCGTGTGCTTCCATGGGCTCCTCCCCCAGGCAACACCCGAACATCGGGGGAGATATGGTTCTCAAGTTTGTACTTTTCCTGACCACTTGGGGCTTTTCCAGTCAATGCTTCTGTAGGGTAAATACAGTTCTGCCTTAAGAACTTAGGAGAGGTGGGTAAGGGGGAACTTTCAAAGTGGTTCTTCTCTGATCTTGTCCCAACACTGAACTTGGGACCGGTACTCCCATGGAGGCTCTTGGGAGGGCTAGAGTCCACACTGTACAGCACCTGTCCCTCATCATCTGTGTCTGCATCAATGTACTGGTGGATACCTGCTTCGAAGTTGAACGCTATTGCTGTGTGTTTCTCGGGAGACCGGGAGGGTGTCCTAGCACTTGCTGTGGTGTAGATGGAGGACTCTGGACTCAGCACAGGCCTGTCCAAGAGGGTGACACACTCCAGCCCAGCGACAGCAGCTGCAGCAGCCCCCCGGGTCCTTAGAGGGTCATGGTACATCCCCAGAACAGGGACTAATGGACTGGGTTCACCCTCCATGAAGTTAACTTTAAGCGCTCGGAGCTTCAAGGGGTTGTTGGTCTTCATGGTACTCTTGGGGCTCTCAATGAGGAAAGTAGAGTGATGACTGGCATCAGGGGTGGGATTGGCCTCCACAAACCTACTACCACTGGCACCCAGAGCTCCCTGCCAGCCCATCTCTGAGACCAAGCTGCCTCCAGTCTTGCTGGGGAGTGACATCAAAGGGCTGTGGGAGAATCTGGTGGCTTCAGGGAAGTCTGTGGCACAGCTAATGAAGCTATCAATACTCGACATGCTCCTCATGTCTATCACTCCTTCTGTACGAGGGGGCAGAGGAGCTATGGGGCTGGGGATACTCTCCATTTCAAGTTCTTCCTTTGGTTTGCTGTGTGTTGCTGACTGCTTGGTATTGAGGATGGGCTGAGATTGGGTCTTGGCCATCTTATTATACATGTCTTCCAACTGCTGGACATTCAGGTGTTGAGGACTAGAAGATGATCTGGCCTTCTCAGGGGATCCTTGCTCCTTGGTTTCAAAGGACTTACTCGAACTGGTTTCAGATAGTGTCCTCTTTGTCCATTTCCATTTGTTGGGTGACAAGTGGTTATCTTGTACTTTGTCCTTATTCTCTCCATTCTTCTCAACCACGATGTCCATTATCTCGATGCTCCGGGCAAAAGCATCTTTCATGTTCATGGACACAATGCTGCCATTCCTCTTGGCTCTCTCCAGAGCCTCTCTACGCTTGATTGCTTTCTCCTGCCTCTTCTGCTCCTTGTAGAACTCAGAGAAGTTGTTGACAATGATGGGGATGGGAAGAGCAATCACCAGGACCCCTGCGATGCAGCAGAGCCCCCCCACAATTTTCCCCAGGAGAGTCTTAGGGTAGATGTCTCCATAGCCAACAGTAGTCATGGTAATAGTAGCCCACCAGAAAGAGGCTGGGATGCTTTTGAACTTGGTGTCCTCCTCATCTTTCTCCGCAAAGAAGACAAGGCTGGAGAAGATCATGATGCCCATGGCGAGGAAGAGAATGAGCAAGCCCAGCTCATTGTAGCTCCGCCGCAGGGTGAAGCCCAAGGACTGGAGGCCAGTGGAGTGGCGCGCGAGCTTCAGGATGCGGAGGATACGCATGATGCGGAAGATCTGAACCACGCGGCGAACATTCTGGAACTGAAGCACACTCTTGTTCGATTCAGTGAGGAAAATGGTAACGTAGTACGGCAGGATGGCCAACAAGTCAATGGCGTTGAGCGGACCCTTGAAGAATTTCCACTTCTTGGGCGAGGAGAGGAACCGAAGCAGGTACTCCATGGTGAACCACGCGATGCACACGGCCTCTACATGTGCCAGCTGGGGGTTGTCCGTGGACTGGCCAAACTCGTCAACGCCCTGCAGCTCGGGCAGCGTGTTGAGCGACAGGGCAATGGTGGAGAGGACGATGAACATGATGGAAATTATGGCAAGGATCTGTGAGGAGAAGAGAGTGGGATTTAGTTATCAACCACCAAGAGATGATCGCTCTAATACCCTGAGTCTGCGGAGTGCTCCTCGACATTCAGGAGCATTTCCCATTTCACATGTCACTAGTCATTTTATAACTGGGTGGTTGAGCTAAAAAAGATGATTTATTCAAGTCCATTTATTGTACAGATGTAGAAACTGACTGGGAGAATTGAAATGGTTTAAAGCTAATGGTTGGCAATTTTTTTTCTATGAAGGGCCGGATAATAAATATTTTAGGCCTTGAAGTCTGTGAATTCTTTGTTGCAACTACTCAACTCTGCAGTGGAAGCATGGAGGCAGCCTTAGATAATACAAAAATGAACACTTGTAGATGTGTTTCAATAAAACTGTTTGACAAAAAGAGGCAGTGAGCCAAAACTGGTTTGGCTCAGTGGATAGAGCGTCTGTCTGCGGACCGAAGAGTCCCAGGTTTGATTCCAGTCAAGGGCATGTATATTGGTTGGGTGCACATTCCTGGTAGGGGGTGTGCAGGAGGCAGCTGGTCAATGTTTCTCTCTCTCTGTAAAAAAAAAAATCAATAATATATATATTTTTTTAAAAAGAGGGAACTGAATTGGACTTTTGGGCCATCACTTGCTGACTGGTGAGCTAGAACAGTGGTTTGCCAATACTATGGGGTGGGGCTGTTTTCACAGGAGCTTAATGATAATAACAATAGTTACTCCTTACTGAGTGTTCATTGTATGCTGGACACTGTGTTTAGCACTTCCCATGCAATACCTTATTTCATTCTCACAAAAACCCCAGTAAGTGTTCTGTCTCTGGAGCCAGGACTTTCACCGTGCCCGTCTGACCCCAGAGCATGAGCTCCTGAGGCTGAGTTAGAAATCAGATGAAACTACAGACCCTTTTGCTACACACAATAGTCTGATTTTTCAGGTCATTTCCAGGCAGGCATAAATATCTCGGGTCCATGTTATTAATTCCCAATTGGGACTATGAACTTTTTTTTTTTAATATAATTTATTGATTTTTTTACAGAGAGGAAGGGAGAGAGATAGTTAGAAACGTCGATGAGAGAGAAACATTAACCAGCTGCCTCTTGCACACCCCCCACCGGGGAAGTACCCGCAACTAATGTACATGCCCTTGACTGGAATCGAACCCGAGACCCCTCAGTCCTCAGACTGTCGCTCCACCACTGAGCCAAACCAGTTTCGGAGAACTTTTTTTAAATTATTTTTTAAGGGGAGAGGATCCAAGATGGCTGCTCGGGTAGACATCTAGCCTCGCAGCACACAACAATTTCAATGGAATACAACTAAAATGTAGAGTGGACATTGCCCAGAGCTACAGGTAGTCGACTGACTGAAATTTCTACAACAAGAAGGAAAGAGAAAACCAGAAAGAAAATCAGAGGAGCTGAAAAAAAGCCTAAGGTACGGAGACATGCTGCGCGCGCCTGCCCGCCCGCACGCGCGCATGGAGAGGTCGCAGCCGGAGAGGAGGAGAGGGCGGGGAGCCACCTTTCCTTCCCTAGGAGGAAGGAAATAAAACCCCCAGCCTGGGCTGAACCCCCGAACCGGCAGCGCTGAGCCCCCCCGAACCGGCAGCGCTGAGCCCCAGTTATGGGCCAGACCCTGGGGACCCAGGCTCCGGCGGGAGGAGACGGGGCCGTGAGGCGGAAAAACGGCGAAAGGCAGGGCCCCGGGAGTCGCGCGCAATGCGCGCAGAGGACTGAATGTTGACTCTGATGCTGGGTTGCCCTAGCCGGAAGAAACAAGGCCTCCGGCGGCGCTGAGCCTCAGTCCGGACTGCTCCGAACCCCAGTTCTGGGCTAATCCCTGGGGACCCAGGCTCAGGCAGAGGGAGACGGGGCTGTGAGGTGGAGTCCGGGGAGAGTGGCGAAAGGCCGGGCCCCCGGGACTCGCGCAAACTGCGCGAAGAGGACAGTCTGTGGGACTCGCGCAAACTGCGCGCAGAGGACAGTCTGTTGACTCTGATGCTGGACTTCCCTAGTGGGAAGGAGAAAAAAAAAGCTCTAGGCTGGGGGAACACGGAGGGGAGCGGAAGCCCCTGCCGGACTCCAGCCAACCGGGCACCAGCAAGGAGGCGGGCCACGAGGCCCCTGGGGGCGTGGGTGCCCCTGAGCCTTTGACCACTGAGCTCGGGCAATGGAGCCAAGGCCGGGGGCTGCTTCCTGGGCGGCGCCGTCCCTGGCAACAGGCTGAAGCAGCGCAGGAGCCCCCGGAGAACAAAGGGGTGCCACAGGCCAACCTGCTGAGCTCCCAGGACAAGGAGGAAGAAACCAAAGAAGTTCTCAATGTGAAGAAATCAAGTGAGAGCAAAAAATAGTAAAATTACTTAAGAAAGAATACAAAGAAGATCTTGAAAAAATCAAAGACTAAGTCAGAACTCAACTCACCAGCCAACATTGCAACATAAATGCGTTTTAAAAAGAAAAAAAAAGGACAGAATGTTGGAACAGAGACGGCCAGGCCTAGAGTGGCCAGGCACAAGGCAGTGGCAGCAAGACCCGGAGCAGCAACGGCCAGGCCCCAGAACAACAGCAGCCAGAACCAGAGCATCAACAGCCAGCACTGGAGTAGCCAGACCTGGGGCAGTGGCAGCCAGGCATGAGGCGGAGGCGGCCAAGCCCAGGGTGGCCAGTCCAGGAACACCCAGACCCGGAGTGGCCGGGCCCGAAGAAGCCGGGCCCAGAGCAGCCGGGGTGGGAGCAGCCAGACCCAGAACAGCAGTAGCCAAGCCCAGAGCATCCAGGTCGGGAGTGGCCAGGCTCGGAGCGGCTGGGCCCGGGGCAGCCGGGCCCAGAGCAGCCGGGTTGGGTGCGGCCAGGCCCGGAGCAGCGGCTGCCAGGCTGGGAGCGGCCAGGCCCGGGGGAGCAGTCGGGTCGGGTGCGGCCAGGCCTGGAGCAGCGGCTGCCAGGCTGGGAGCGGCCAGGCCCGGGGGAGCAGGCGGGTCGGGTGTGGCCAGGCCCGGAGCAGCGGCTGCCAGGCTGGGAGCGGCCAGGCCCGGGGGAGCAGGCGGGTCGGGTGCGGCCAGGCCCGGAGCAGCGGCTGCCAGGCTGGGAGCGGCCAGGCCCGGGGGAGCAGGCGGGTCGGGTGCGGCCAGGCCCGGAGCAGCGGCTGCCAGGCTGGGAGCGGCCAGGCCCGGGGGAGCAGCCGGGTCAGGTGCGGCCAGGCCCGGAGCAGCGGCTGCCAGGCTGGGAGTGGCCAGGCCCGGGGGAGCAGGCGGGGCTGGTGCGGCCAGGCCCGGAGCAGCGGCTGCCAGGCTGGGAGCGGCCAGGCCCGGAGCAGCAGCAGCCAAGTCCAGAGCAACTAGGTCGGGAGCGGCAGTGACCAGACCCGGAGCAGCTGGTTGTGGAATGAACCAGAGCAACAGAGGCCAGGCCCTGAGCAGCCAGGCCCAGAACAGCTCGCTCCTTGCCTGCCCCTGCCCCACGGCTGCTTCTCAGACATGGCTGGAAACTTTCGTGGGAACTTGAGGGTTTGCTGAATCAAGTGATGAAGGCTTAGATCTGGATGTGTTGAGTTAGTTTAGGACTGGGGTGTTGATCTGTGAGTGCCTTGGGTGGGGCCTGGATGAGGCTGGTTGACCTAGTGGGAAATGTCTTTTGTGTGAAGTGTATCATTGGGCATGTGGAGATATTATTGATATGAGAAAATGCTAAGTAACTGATTTACTATCTGAAAAGGGATTTACTATTGGGGAAATTGAGGGAAGAAGAGACTGAACATAAACTGCACCTATGGATGAGGACAATAGGGGATGGGGGGGGGGACGGAAGGTGGGGTGGGAACCTGGTGGAGGGGGGAAGAAATGAGGAACCTTTGTAATAATATGAACAATAAAGATTGATTAAAAAAAATAAATAAATAAAAATAAAAATAAAAAGAAACAAAAAAAAATAAATTATTTTTTAAAAATATATTTTATTGATTTTTTACAGAGAGGAAGGGAGAGGGATAGAGAGCTAGAAACATCAATGAGAGAGAGACATTGATCAGCTGCCTCTTGCACACCCCCTACTGGGGATGTGCCCGCAACTAATGTACATTCCCTTGATCGGAATCGAACCTGCGATCCTTCAGTCCGCAGACCGATGCTCTACCACTGAGCCAAATCGGTTTCAGCAGGGACTATAAACTTTTTGAGGTTAAGGGTTAAGTCTTAATTATCTTTGAGCCCCTGGATCAAGAAGAGGTTTGGCCCAGAGAAAGGACTTATTCGACATTTGTTGACACTATTGGAACCTAGACCTGTCTATAGTTTATGAAGAAATGTAAGCAGATGTAACAAATTGCTCGCAGGGTCTTCTTCAAAATTATAAACCCAATCCCATCATCTCATCATTTCTCTGCTTACTAAATTTCCAGGACATTTCAGGAGCAAATCCAAAGCCTGTAAACTTGTCTATCAGCCCCTCCCCTCTGTCCTGTTCTCAGAGACTTGCCCCTCTCCTTCAACTGCCCCAGCGGAAGGGCTGGTCTGGTCACCATGCTTGTACAATTTGTTCCTGCCTCCCTAGCTGGTTTGGCTCAGTGGATAGAGATTTGGCCTGCAGGCTAAAAGGTCCTGGGTTCGATTTCAGTCAAGGGCACATGCTAGGGTTGCAGGCTTGATCCCCAGTGGGGGCCGTGCAGGAGGCAGCCGATCAATGATTCTCATCATTAATGTTTCTATTTCTCCCTTTACCTTCCTCTTTTTTAAAAAAAATATATATTTTATTGATTTTTTACAGAGAGGAAGGGAGAGAGATAGAGAGCTAGAAACGTCGATGAGAGAGAAACATCAACCAGCTGCCTCTTGCACACTCCCTACCAGGGATGTGCCCTCAACCAAGGTACATGCCCTTGACCGGAATCGAACCTGGGACCTTTCAGTCCGCAGACCGACGCTCTACCACTGAGCCAAACCTGTTTCGGCTACCTTCCTCTCTTAAATCAATAAAAATATTAAACACACACACACACACACACACA